GTGAGGGCAAGGGGGGCAGATTTACATACTAGTGGGACACTTTTCAAACAGTTGAACTTGGGAAGTCATAAATTTGGAGTTATCCCCCCCCCCCCAACAATATTTTTCGGAATTGTGTTGTAAAAATTTTTCAAAACCACCAAAATAGCAATTTGGTAGTGAAATCGACGCCTACTTGAAAAGTGATGTATCTTTTCCTCATGCGGCAAACATTTTATTTATGATTTTTTAAAACATCTCAAATATTTCCCAAAATCAAAAAGGCCACCTTCCCCCTATAGGGGGGGGGGGGGGGGGGGGAGGCAATGTCCCCCTCTCTGGCATCCCTGTCAAAGTGTATAAATGATTATAATATGATGCTTACTCATTTGTTGAAAACAGAGATGTGGAAGGTCCAGTATTTTTTGACTTCTTGTTGTTCAGGAATGGAGGGCTAAGAAAGAAGGACAACAGTTTCTTTGCAACAGAGCAACTGAACATGCTACTAAAATGATCATGCTTACATAAATTTTGAGGATGCAGTGTTATTTGTCTTCTTGGTGTTCGCTTGATATGCAGGGCTTAAAAAGAAGGATAATATTTTTGTTTTAAATGCTAAAATTGTTCTCTTCAATATGTTAAATAAAAAATTTCTAAACAGAAACAACAGAACACAAAATCATTTAATTTCTAAAGAAATTTTTATGCTTACGCAAGCAGTGCACAAACGTCTTCTTGACACGATGAAGATGGAGTGTTATAATTCAACTTCTTGTTGTTTGAGAATGTAGGGCTTAAAAGGAAGAATAACTCGAATATCACTTCGGATGGCAATAATATGATGTTTCGGTTTTTGAAAACACCGCATATATTTATTGCAAAGCTTTCAAACCATATAAGCCTGGATTTTTATCAGTGCCAACAAGCTTACAGTTTAGCAGTAATAAATATACATGGTGTTTCCACAAACCATTAAAGCAAACTACATGAATACCTTAATACTTTTGTCATTATAACAAAATAAATGTTCAAATAAGCATTCTTACGTAAATGTTGCCATAACTTTTTCTTTAAACGCTTGTCCAAGGGTTGGCAAAGCACCAGTCGGAATGGAAGACTTAGAACCATCCTAAATGAAAATTTGGACGGTTGACATCAGATAATAGGTTGGTTTTAGCAAGCGTTAATATAAGACAGCCAATATGTGAATTGCAATGAATCTGTTGGGCATTAAAAGACAATAAAACAACAGCCATGTTGGTACCAAATCCAATGAAAGATAATGAGATGCTTTTGTTGGGGTACTACCAACATAACCATGACATAACAATGGACCTGCAGTACTACTCTGCCTTATGGCCACCTTGTTAATATGGTCCTCTTTATTACGACCATTTATTTTTGTCCCCCAAAAATGCCAAGATGCTACCACAGATTAAGCGTGAACAGATGTGTAAGTTGTCCCATGGTCACCATCTTGTTAGCAAGTGTTGCTCGCATAATAATTCATTATTTGGTAATACCAAATGTTGACGTGTACAGGACACATTTAAGTCCTATGAAGTTACACATCTGGTATATACTTAGTCTGTGATGATACATTACCTTAAGATACCTTGCCTAACCTGTCAATACAGCCAAATTTTGTTTTGGCCCGGTCTTGGCAATGTATTAATAATATATAATATTTATTATAGTATTTATATAATGTAGGACTTGATTTGGGACTATATAAACAGACCTGTTGTCTGCACCTTCAATCGTAAAACATAGAAGTGATAGACTCATAGAGTCATAAATAGCTAACCTTGCTTAGCGCAGTATAAGCTACAATCGTATCTGCTTTCGTGTCATAAAAATGAAATTTCCTGCGAGAAGAAACACATTTGATACATTTCATTTGTTTCACATTTATAAAAAATACATATTAAAACCACGTTGTTTGGTTGCTGTCTGGCATAAATATTTTCACGCCATTAAAACAGCGCTATTTCAAAGAGTAATCGTTTTTAACATAATATAAACCTTAAATAACTTACTTCTTTTGACCGGAGCTGTTCTTATTAAGAGAAAGTGACGCTTTCATAGTAAAAACTTTCCTCCATATTAAATTCAGAAATTGTTGTTTATAATTTCACATTTCCCGCCCAATCTCGTACCCAGAGTATGCCCGTTCGCAGGTTAGCTGCTGGAACGATAACTCAGGTAACCATGCCCATACTTGCCCAGTGAACTCAAAAGACATATCATAGGAAGCCCAAACAAGCGGGTTTTATTAAATAAAATCCGTAATTAAAACGTTAATTAGCAATAAAATTGCTGTTAGAATCGTGCACGTAGCGTGCTCCGGTCGCGCTGTGATTTGACTATATAATTAGTGACGTATCCTACTATGTTATGTAGGATACGTCACTAATTATATAGTCAAATCACAGCGCGACCGGAGCACGCTACGTGCACGATTCTAACAGCAATTTTATTGCTAATTAACGTTTTAATTACGGATTTTATTTAATAAAACCCGCTTGTTTGGGCTTCCTATGGACATATGTTGAAGAGAAGAGGACTCAGGCAATCACCTTGCAATACTCCACGGCGAACTGGTATGAAGGGGGTACGGAATTCAGATGTAATTATTGAAGTTTTAAAATCAGTATATAGACTTTTAATTATCAATTTAACATGTTCAGGGATATGGTGGTAATCAAGTACGGATGTGATCAGATTATGATGAACTTCACCAAAAGCATTCTTGAGGTCAAGTAGGGTGATGACTAGTGAGCGTTGTTTGATTCGGG